ATGCAATTAAATTTATTTATAATACATATATATTAGATTTGAATATATATATATATATATATATATATATATATATATATATATATTTATAATACATATATATTACTTTTTTTGTGTTAGTTTTTTTCCTTCGGATGCATGGTAGTGTTTAGTAGTTAATAGTAATTTTTTTTTTTTGTTAAATTATTTACGTGCTTGCAATATGTATTGTAGTATTGATATGGAGCCATCAAGCAATGTATTGTATTGCTATTGTGGAATAAAATCGCCTTTGAGAAGAGCCACTGCACAAATAATCGAAATCGGAGGTTTTATGGATGTAGAAGGTATCCCATGATGTCTTGTGGGTTCCATAGATGGGTGGACTGGAACCATATAGAAAGAGAACTGTCTATGAGAACCATATCATTTTGAGAGGCCAAATTGCTATGAGAATTGGTTATGAGAACCATTTGGAAGATGAAACACTGCCTATTGATGGGAGTATCAACTTTGTGGGTGCACCACCTGTGCAAAGTAATATTGGGAATCATGTAATCACAAATTTGGTTGTTTTTATGTTGGGATTTATAGGATGTGCTATTGTAATGGTTATTATGAGGTTATTTAGTAGAATATAATTGTAATGGACTTTATAATTAATTAATGTATTATTATTTTTATATAATATACCGTGTTACACTAACATTCCAGTTGCACCAACATAGCAAAATAGGTGATGACAATACAAAAAAATTATAATCTGGGGTAATCTTTGCAGCACTAACATACCAGTTGCACCAATATAGCAAAAAACATACAAAAATAAATTCTGTGCAAAACATAGCAAAATACATAACCATAACCATACAAAAACAAAATCTATGCACCACCAACATACAAAAAAACATAGCCATAACCATAACCATAACCATATAAATTATAGTAGTATCGGCCATAACCAAACAAAATCTTAAGTTCTGCATCAACATTCCCAAAAATCAAAACTACAATCTGTGCACCAACATTCTAAATAACCAAACAACATATGTGCACCAACATTTCAAAAAACCAAACATCTATGCACCACCAACATACCAAAAAAAATGTAAACCATATCTGTGCACCAACAAACCAAAAAAATCTAAACCATATTTGTGCACCATCAACATACCAAAAGATGAAAACCAATATCAGTGCACCAAAAACTTACAAAAAGCTATACTATGAACTCCAAAAAGCAGAAAACCACCAAATTTCCTTAAACTCCAGGGTCAATTGTAGTGGCCCTGTGAAAGAAAAAAAAAAAAAGGAGAAGTAAAATCATCAAAGACATTTATAAACTGTTTTTGATTGCTCCAGAATTTTTTTTTTTAAAAAAAACTCTCACATACCTAGATGATGAGGATGCTTGACTACTCCACAAGACATTGAAATCAATTGATGATGATGGTTGAGACAAATGTTGAGTGTGCGCAGCGGAATGGTTGTGGAATATAATATATGGATAGATAATCTAGAGAGATGGTAAATAGATTCAACTTGCACTTTTATCCAATTTTTACTTATTTTAATTTTACCAAAATAAAACTAAAATCAAACCACAAAGCAAAAATAAAGTACAAGTAAAGTAAATAGAGTTTGAGAGATGACACCAGGATTTTATCGAGGAAACCCCAATTGGTAGAATAAACCAATTGTAACAGGAAAAACCTCATTAGACTTCACAGTCCTAAGATAAACGATCCACTATGTTTAAAGCAAAGTATACCGGACTTTGACTCAGTCTCACACCCTATCGTTCCACCAAAAACCAATTGCTGACAATCCCTGGCTTTGTGACTCCCCCGTCCAACAGCTCTCGACCTCAAGCTTACTCTCGATCTCTGTAGAAGAGTTGCAGGTAGATCAGACAACACTCCACGAATACTCTGACCCCTTCAAAGTGTGATCCCTTTACCCCTTTTCTTCTAGATCTGAATTTGACGAAGAATGAATGAATTCTGCTTTTCTGGAATTTCTGAATCTTCAATTATGCTTCAATTCCGATGAGATAGAGAACAACACTCCTAAATCACTCTTGTGCTTATGTGTGTGCTCTCAAAAATAAAATTAGAAAAATCAGATTGATTTTCTGAAAGAATAAAAAATATCTCTCAAAAAGGCTCTCAAAAAGATCTGTATTTTTTATGCAAAAGCCACACAATAAACCTATGTGTATGACACAGTTTATATAGAGTTTAGAATGTTCTAGTTAATTTGAAAATATGATAAAATTCATGCATAAGACTTGAAACACTTCTAAACCAACTAGGAAAGAAATCAGGAACAGGAAACTAAACTTTCCATAGGCTATCAGGACTATTGAACCTGTTCAAAGGATTTTGAACAGGTTCAAGGATGGCAGAATGTATTTCAAGGCCAATGTTGAAGACTTGAACCTATTCAAAGAATTGGGAACAGGTTTAAAAATGACAGAATGTTTTCTAGGCTAAATTCAAATGGCTTGAACCTGTTCCAAGAATCATGAACAGGTTCAAATCTGCCAGACTTGATTCCTAAGGTTCTAGGCACTATTTTTGGTATATTCTGAAACTTACCAAATATGGAATGTGGCCTAACCTTTTTAGATTCCTTCCTAAAGTATTGTTCTTACCTGTCTCGAATGATCTCAGTCATGGTAACTTTGAACAACCTTCCAATTCCACAGTTGCTGTCTATCCGGATACGGTAACTTGAATTATAACTCGACAAGGACTTGTTTTGACACTGAAAGTTGCCAATTACAGAATATATATTTTTTACAATCTTCCCAAAATATATATCTTACAATCTCCCCCTTTGGCAATTTCGTGATAAAACTCTAAAAACAACATATAATCTACCCAAGCAGAAAAAACAAATTACAATGATTGTCAAAGAAATAAAACGGAACTCTTCTTGAACATCATGAAGCTTCAATACATGTAGCAACCTCTAATCTGCACATTAGCTCAACAAAACTACCCGTGAAGCTTAATCAAGAAAGATAAACAACAACATATATCAATATGTGAATATCAATATATATGTATCTTCCTCACAATTCGAGAAACTCTCCCCCTCAATTATGCACATTCTCCCCCTTTTTGTGACAAATTGACAAATAAAGCTTAACAAAGAAGGAAAAGAAACAATGTGGAAGAATTAAAAAGAAAAAAAAAACTAAAAGGAAAATCTTTTTGGATTTTTTTTCATTTTTCAATTTTTTCCATGTTTATGATATTTTAACAAAAAATATGAGATAGCAATTTCCATGAATTTCAAGCATATATGAGATCCAACAATTTCTAAAGAATTCAAGAGAATTTTAAAACACAATTTTTAGACCGCACAAATTATTCAATCAAATCAATTCTCAAGCATGCAATCACAACATGAAATCCAACTTGCAATTTTTATAAAAATTTAGAAATTTGTCTAGCAAGTTCACATGTGTGTGTGTGCAATCCAATTTCATCAAATTTCAATCAAATCACACTGACCAACTATCTAAATCATCTTGATCAAAAAGCATCAAGATAAGATTGTTTTGAGCAAACTTTTCTAAGCTAGGCGGCTTTCACTCTAAAGAGTAGATAGCAATTCCCTATTTCGACTTGTCTCCTCCTTTCCTTTTACTTAATTAGCTCATCTTCAAAGTCTAGTAGGAACTTTCGAACTAGTCTCAATAGGCAGTCTTTTCCTTAGCAAAAATTTTCAGCATTCTTTTGATTTTTCTTTTCTTTTTATGTTGAAATTTTTCATTTGTTTTCCTCAAACACGTACCCTATATATATATATTTTTTAAAACAATAACCTTTATAGCTTTTATGAGCAAAGTGACCTAGGCAACTTCACAATGATTTCAAATTAAAATTCTCAAAGTTGGACTAGTGCACAAGAAAAATATGAACTCAAGAGACTCATCTCTAAAAAGAAATCAACAAAGCAAATTGTCTTTCAACATATAGATTACACATCAAGAACCTTTTCAACAAATAATCATGTGTCCCCAATATGCATTCAAAAATAATTGAATCAAGAGAAATAAGTATCACTCATGCATTGACAAGAAAAACATGATCATCACTTTCTCATGAAATAAAAACAACATAAATCCTAAACTACAAGATATGGTCCAATGAAAACAAGATATTCACCAAAGCATAATCCATGACCATAAAAACTCTTTAGGACTTAGTTAGGGGGGTTTGCACCCATAGACCTAACAGGAACAAGTCCCATAGCATCAACAGGCACATAATTAACCAAGTCTTCTTTTGTGATCCACACAGTCTTTACATTCAACTTTTGAAAAGACTTTTCAATTTCAACCTTTTTCTTGTTTGAGTAATTCTTAGCATGAGAATTTTTGGGTTGATTCACAAAATTTTGCTTTTTAACATGAACACTATTCTTAGCATAAGAACCAAAAGCATGAAATTTAGAAAAAGATTCTCTTCTCTTCCTAAAACAATAATATTGGTTATGTCCATTCCTACCACAATAAGTGCAAGGCAAAATAGTAGGCACATAAGACATATTAGCATGTGATGAATCAACAACCTCAGATTTATTTTTAGGCACATTCAAGTTAGTGGGTTTCACAAAAATAGTTTTACCCTCTTTACTACATGAAGCCTTATTAAAACCTAAGCCAGTTTTGTCATTCACATTGTTACCAATATTAATCATCTCATCAAGTTTAATCTGCCCAGAAGTAAATCCATTCAATTTCTCTTGTGACTTTTTAAATTCAATTTCAAGAAATTCTAATTTAGAAACAAGAGATTCATTTGCAGAATTAACTTGACTTACCTCACCTTCTAGGAATCTTATCTTTCCATGAAGATGTTTAATCTCCTTGTTTTTCTGTTCACTTTCCTTCTTCAGAGTATCTCTTTGCTTCTCAACTTCTTTCAATTCTCTAGCTTGTTTATTGAAGCCTTTGTTCGTTTGAACATATGTAACATACAATCATTGAAGGCTTTATCTTAATTCTACTTTGTTGCTTCCTTGTAGCAATCTTCATCATTAGATTTTGCTATGTCCTCAAAATCCGAGTCATCTGTGTCAGACAAAGAAAATCTTTTAGAAGCATCATTATTCACAAAAGTAACAAAAGCAAGAGGATTATCATCATCATTAGAAGAATCATCAGAAAAAGAAGCATTTTTATCTTTAGAAATTGAAACATTCATTGCTTTATCCTTCTTTTTATCTTTGGACTCTTTCCTAGCAACAAAGTTATTTTTAGGACTTGGACAAACTGTTGATGTATTACCTATACCACCACATGTCCAACATTTAATCTCAGTTCCTTTAGACTCATCTTCTCTCCTTTTATCTTGTCTTTCACTTCGCCTAGATGAAAACTCTCTATTCCTAAACCTTGACTCTCCCCCTTTCTTAAATGTATTCATCTTTTCAGACTTGATCAAATTTCTTAACTTCCTAGTTATGAGAGCAATTTCGTCTTCAGATGATTCACTATCATACCTAACCTTAGACTTGGAAGAATCAGACTTTGAAGCTTTTAGGGCTAAGTCTTTAGGTTTTAGGGAATTTCCATAGTACTTCATCTCATAGTTCTTAATATGACCTACAACCTCATCAACTTGCATGGTTGTGATGTTTTGAGTTGCTTGCAGTGTTTCAACTTTGATTTTGAACCTTTCAGGCAAAGACCTAAGAATTTTCTTGTTAATCTTCTTATCTGTCACTTTCTTTCCTAGGTTTCTAAGGCCAGACACAATATGGTTGAGTTTCATGTAAAACTCAGAAAAGGTTTCATCTTCTTCCATCTTAAGATTTTCAAATTGAAACACAAGCATCTCAATCTTTGAAGATTTGACTTCATCTGTACCCCCATGGGTAAGTTGAAGTATATCACATGCCTCCTTTGCAATTTTACAATGAGCAATACGAGCTAACTTAGATTGGACAACAGATTTGAAAAAAGAAAACAAAGCTTTGGTGTTTCCTTCTTGAGCATTATTCTCAGCTTGAGTCCACTCAGACTCTTCCTTTTCAATGATAACACCATCCTTTTTGACTGTAGGGTTTTTACAACCTTTTTCAGTTGCAGCCTAAACATATTTACCTTGAGTCCTAAGAAAAACTGTCATGTTAGGTTTCCAAAAAGCATAGTTATCCCCATCAAACAAAGGAGTACGTTGAATAGATCCACCTTCCTTAAGAACACTATCCATATCAAATTTTAAAAACAAAAACAGAGATTTTTTTTATTAAAAAAAAAAATTCCACAAGGAACAACTCAATGCATAGAGGATGGCTCTGATACCACTTGTTGAGTGTACGTAGCGGAATGGTTGTGGAATATCATATATTGATAGATAATCTAGAGAGATGGTAAGTAGATTCAACTTGCTCTTTTATCCAATTTTTACTTATTTTAATTTTACCGAAATAAAACTAAAATCAAACCACAAAGCAAAAATAAAGTGCAAGTAAAATAAATAGAGTTCGAGAGATGACTCCAAGATTTTATCAAGGAAACCGCTATTGGTAGAATAAACCAATTGTAACAGGAAAAACCTCATTGGACTTCACAGTCCTGAGATAAACGATCCACTATGTTTAAAGCAAAGTATACCGAACTTTGACTCAGTCTCACACCCTATCATTCTACCAAAAACCAATTGCTGACAATCCCTGGCTTTGCGACTCCCCCGTCCAACAGCTCTCGACCTCAGACTTACTCTCGATCTCTGTAGAAGAGTTGCAGGTAGATTAGACAACACTTGGCGAATGCTCTGACCCCTTCAAAGTGTGATCGATTCACCCCTTTTCTTCTAGATCTGAATTTGACGAAGAATGAATGAATTCTGTTTTTCTGGAATTTCAGAATCTTCAATTATGCTTCAATTCCGATGAGATAGAGAACAGCACTCCTAAATCACCCTTGTGTTTATGTGTGTGCTCTCAAAAATAAAATTAGAAAAATCAGATTGATTTTCTGAAAGAATAAAAAATATCTCTCAAAAAGGCTCTCAAAAAGATCTGTATTTTTTATGCAAAAGCCACACAATAAACCTATGTGTATGACACAGTTTATGTAGAGTTTAGAATGTTCTAGTCAATTTGAAAATATGATAAAATTCGTGCATAAAACTTGAAACACTTCTAAACCAACTAGGAAAGAAATCAAGAACAGGAAACTAAACTTTCCAAAGGCTATCAGGACTCTTGAACCTGTTCAAAGAATTTGGAATAGGTTCAAGGATGGCAGAATGTATTTCGAGGCCAATGTTGAAGACTTGAACCTAATCAAAGAATTGGGAACAGGTTCAAAAATGACAGAATGTTTTCTAGGCCAAATTCAAATGGCTTGAACCTGTCCCAAGAATCATGAATAGGTTCAAATCTGCCAAACTTGATTCCTAAGGTTCTAGGCACTATTTTTGGTATATTATGAAACTTACCAAATATGGAATGTGGCCTAACCTTTTTAGATTCCTTCCTAAAGTATTGTTCTTACCTGTCTCGAATGATCTCAGTCATGGTAACTTTGAACAACCTTCCAATTCCGGAGTTGCTGTCGATCCGGATATAATAACTTGAATTATAACTCGACAAGGACTTGTTTTGACACCGAAAGTTGCCAATTACAGAATATATATTTTTTACAATCTTCCCAAAATATATATCTTACAATCTCCCCCTTTGGCAATTTCGTGACAAAACCCTAAAAACAACATGTAATCTACCCAAGCAGAAAAAGTTAATTACAATGATTGTCAAAGACATAAAACGGAACTGTTCTTGAACATCATGAAGGTTCAATACAAGTAGCAACCTGTAATTTGCATATTAGCTCAACAAAACTACCACTGAAGCTTAATATAGAAGGATAAACAACAACATATATCAATATGTGAATATCAATGTATATGTATCTTCCTCTCAATTCGAGAAACTCTCCCCCTCAATTATGCACATTCTCCCCTTTTTTTGTTACAAATTGACAAATAAAGCTCAACAAAGAAGGAAAACAAATAATATGGAAGAATTAACAAAAAAAAAAAAAAAAAAAACTAAAAGGAAAATCTTTTTGGATTTTTTTTCATTTTTTAATTTTTTTCATGTTTATGATATTTTAACAAAAAATATGAGATAGCAATTTCCATGAATTTCAAGCATATATGAGATCCAAAAATTTCTAAAGAATTCAAGAGAATTTTAAAACACAATTTTTAGACCCCACAAATTATTCAATCAAATCAATTCTCAAGCATGCAATCACAACTTGAAATTCAACTTGCAATTTTTATAAAAATTTAGAAATTTGTCTAGCAAGTTCACATGTGTGTGTGTGCAATCCAATCTCATCAAATTTCAATCAAATCACATTGACCGACTGTCTAAATCATATTGATCAAAAAGCATCAAGATAAGATTGTTTTGAGCAAACTTTTCTAAGCTAGGCGGCTTTCACTCTAAAGAGTAGACAGCAATTCCCTATTTCGACTTGTCTCCTCCTTTCTTTTTACTTAATTAGCTCCTTTTCAAAGTCTAGTAGGAGCTTTCGAACTAGTCTCAATAGGTAGCCTTTTCCTTAGCAAAAATTTTCAGCATTCTTTTGATTTTTCTTTTCTTTTTATGCTGAAATTTTTCATTTGTTTTCCTCAAACACATGCTCTGTATTTTTTTTTTTTAAACAATAACCTTTATAGCTTTTATGAGAAATATGACCTAGGCAACTTCACAATGATTTCCAATTAAAATTCTCAAAGTTGGACTAGTGCACAAGAAAAATATGAACTCAAGAGACTTATCTCTAAAAAGAAATCAACAAAGCAAATTGTCTTTCAACATATAGATTGCACATCAAAAACCTTTTCAACAAATAATCATGTGTCCCCAATATACATTCAAAAATAATTAAATCAAAAGAAATAAGTATCACTCATGCATTGACAAGAAAAACATGATCATCACTTTCTCATGAAAGAAAAACAACATAAATCCTAAACCACAAGATATGGTCCAATGAAAACAAGATATTTATCAAAGCATAGTCCATCAACATAAAAACTCTTTAGGATTTAGTTAGGGGGGTTTGCACCCATAGACCTAATAAGAACAAGTCCCATAGCATCAATAGGCACATAATTAACCAAGTCTTCCTTTTTGATCCACACAGTCTGTATATTTAACTTTTGATAAGACTTTTCAATTTCAACCTTTTTCTTGTTTGAGTAATTCTTAGCATGAGAATTTTTGGGTTGATTCACAAAATTTTGCTTTTTAACATGAACCCAATTCTTAACATAAGAACCAAAAGCATGAAATTTAGAAAAAGATTCTCTTCTCTTCCTAAAGCAATAATATTGGTTATGTCCATTCCTACCACAATAAGTGCAACACAAAATAGTAGGCACATAAGACATATTAGCATGTGATGAATCAACAATCTCAGATTTATTTTTTGGCACATTCAAGTTAGTGGGTTTCACAAAAATAGTTTTACTTTCTTTACTACATGAAGCCTTATTAAAACCTAAGCCAGTTTTGTCATTCACATTGTTACCAATATTAATCATCTCATCAAGTTTAATCTGCCCAGAAGTAAATCCATTCAATTTCTCTTGTGACTTTTTAAATTCAATTTCAAGAAATTCTAATTTAGAAACAAGAGATTCATTTGCAGAATTAACTTGACTTACCTTACCTTCTAGGAATCTTATCTTTCCATGAAGATCTTCAATCTCCTTATTTTTCTGTTCACTTTCCTTCTTCAGAGCATCTCTTTGCTTCTCAACTTCTTTCAATTCTCTAGCTTGTTTATTGAAGTCATTGTTCGTTTGAACATATGTAACAAACAATTCATCGAAGGCTTTATCATAATTCTCCTTTGTTGCTTCTTTGTAACAATCTTCATCATTAGATTTTGCTATGTCCTCAAAATCCGAGTCATCTGTGTCAGACAAAGACAATCTTTTAGAAGCATCATTATTCACAAAAGTAACAAAAACAAGATGATTATCATCATCATTAGAAAAATCATCAGAAAAAGAAGCATTTTAATCTTCAGAAACTGAAACATTCATTGCTTTATCCTTCTTTTTATCTTTGGACCATTTCCTTGCAACAAAGCTATTTTTAGGACTTGGACAAACTGTTGATGTATGACCTATACCACCACATGTCCAACATTTAATCTTAGTTCCTTTAGACTCCTCTTCTCTCCTTTTATCTTATCTTTCACTTCCCCTAGATGAAAACTCTCTATTCCTAAACCTTGACTCTCCCCCTTTCTTAAATGTATTCATCTTTTCAGACTTGATCAAATTTCTGAACTTCCTAGTTATGAGAGTAATTTCTTCATCAGACTCACTATCATACCTAACCTCAGACTTGGAAGAATCAGACTTTGAAGCTTTTAGGGCTAAGTCTTTAGGTTTTAGGGAATTTCCATAGTACTTCATCTCATAGTTCTTAATATGACCTACAACCTCATCAACTTGCATGGTAGTGATGTTTTGAGTTGCTTGCAGTGTTTCAACTTTGATTTTGAACCTTTCAGGCAAAGACCTAAGAATTTTCTTGTTAATCTTCTTATCTGTCACTTTCTTTCCTAGGTTTCCAAGGCCAGACACAATATGGTTGAGTTTCATGTAAAACTCAGAAAAGGTTTCATCTTCTTCCATTTTAAGATTTTCAAATTGGAACACAAGCATCTCAATCTTTGAAGATTTGACTTCATCTGTACCCTCATGGGTAAGTTGAAGTATATCCCATGCCTCCTTTGCAATTTTACAATGAGCAATACGAGCTAACATAGATTGGACAACAGATTTGAATAAAGAAAATAAAGCTTTGGTGTTTCCTTCTTGAGCATTATTCTCAGCTTGAGTCCACTCAGACTCTTCCTTTTCAATAATAACACATCCTTTGTGACTGTAGGTTTTTATAACCTTTTTCAATTGCAGCCCAAACATATTTAGCTTGAGTCATAAGAAAAGCTGTCATGTTAGGTTTCCAAAAAGCATAGTTATTACCATCAAACAAAGGAGTACGTTGAATAGATCCACCTTCCTTAAGAACACTATCCATATCAAATTTTGAAAACAAAACAGCGATTTTTTTTATTAAAAAAAGAAAATTCCACAAGGAATAACTCAATGTATAGAGGATGGCTCTGATACCACGTGTTGAGTGTCCGCAGGGGAATGGTCGTGGAATATAATATTTGGATAGATAATCTAGAGAGATGGTAAATAGATTCAATCTGCTCTTTTATTCAATTTTTACTTATTTTAATTTTACCGAAATAAAACTAAAATCAAACCATAAAGCAAAAATAAAGTGTAAGTGGAGTAAATAGAGTTCGAGAGATGACACCAGGATTTTATCGAGGAAACCCCAATTGGTAGAATAACCAATTGTAACAGGAAAAACCTCATTGGACTTCGCAGTCCTGTGATAAATGATCCGCTATGTTCAAAGCAAAGTATACTGAACTTTGACTCAGTCTCACACCCTATCATTCTACCAAAAACCAATTGTTAACAATCCCTGGCTTTGCGACTCCCCAGTCCAACAGCTCTCCACCTCAGGCTTACTCTCGATCTCTGTAGAAGAGTTGCAGGTAGATTAGATAACACTCCACGAATACTCTGACCCCTTCAAAGTGTGATCGCTTCATCCCTTTTCTTCTAGATCTGAATTTGACGAAGAATAAATGAATTCTGCTTTTCCGGAATTTTTGAATCTTCAATTATACTTCAATTCCGATGAGATAGAGAACAACACTCCTAAATCACTCTTGTGTTTATGTGTGTGCTCTCAAAAATAAAATCAGAAAAATCAGATTGATTTTCTGAAGGAATAAAAAATATCCCTAAAAAAGGCTCTAAAAAAGATTTGTATTTTTTATGCAAAAGCCACACAACAAACCTATGTGTATGACACAGTTTATATAGTGTTTAAAATGTTCTAGTCAATTTGAAAATATGACAAAATTCGTGCATAAGACTTGAAACACTTCTAAACCAACTGGGAAAGAAATCAGGAACCGGAAGCTAAACTTTCCATAGGCTATCAGGACTCTTGAACCTGTTCAAAGAATTTGGAACAAGTTCAAGGATAGTAGAATGTATTTCGAGGCCAATGTTGAAGACTTGAACCTATTCAAACAATTGGGAACAGGTTCAAAAATGACAGAATGTTTTCTAGGCCAAATTCAAATGGCTTGAACCTGTTCCAAGAATCATGAACAGGTTCAAATCTGCCAGACTTGATTCCTAAGGTTCTTGGCACTGTTTTGGTATATTTTTAAACTTACCAAATATGGAATGTGGCCTAACCTTTTTAGATTCCTTCCTAAAGTATTGTTCTTACCTGTCTCGAATGATCTCAGTCATGGTAACTTTGAACAACCTTCCAATTCCGCAGTTGCTGTCGATCCGGATATGGTAACTTGAATTATAACTCGACAAGGATTTGTTTTGACACCGAAAGTTGCCAATTGCAGAATATATATTTTTTACAACCTTCCCAAAATATATATCTTACAATCTCCCCCTTTGGCAATTTCGTGACAAAACCCTAAAAACAACATGTAATCTACCCAAGCGGAAAAAGCAAATTACAATGATTGTCAAAGAAATAAAACGGAACTCTTCTTGAACATCATGAAGCTTCAATACATGTAACAACCTGTAATCTGCACATTAGCTCAACAAAACTACCCATGAAGCTTAATCAAGAAAGATAAACAACAACATATATCAATATGTGATTATCAATGTATATGTATCTTCCGCTCAAATCGAGAAACTCTCCCCCTCAATTATACACATTCTCCCCCTTTTTGTTACAAACTGACAAATAAAGCTCAACAGAGAAGGAAAAGAAATAATGTGGAAGAATTAACAAAAAAAAAAAAAAAACTAAAAGGAAAATCTTTTTGGATTTTTTTTCATTTTTCAATTTTTTCCATGTTTATGATATTTTAACAAAAAATATGAGATAGCAATTTCCATAAATTTCAAGCATATATGAGATCCAAAAATTTCTAAAGAATTCAAGAGAATTTTAAAACACAATTTTTAGACCCCACAAATTATTCAATCAAATCAATTCTCAAGTATGCAATCACAACTTGAAATTCAACTTGCAATTTTTATAAAAATTTAGAAATTTGTCTAGCAAGTTCACATGTGTGTGTGTGCAATCCAATTTCATCAAATTTCAATTAAATCACATTGACCAACTGTCTAAATCATACTGATCAAAAAGCATCAAGATAAGATTGTTTTGAGCAAACTTTTCTAAGCTAGGCGGCTTTCACTCTAAAGAGTAGACAGCAATTCCCTATTTCGACTTGTCTCCTCCTTTCTTTTTACTTAATTAGCTCCTCTTCAAAGTCTAGTAGGAGCTTTCGAACTAGTCTCAATAGGTAGCCTTTTCCTTAGTAAAAATTTTGAGCATTCTTTTGATTTTTCTTTTATTTTTATCCTGAAATTTTTCATTTGTTTTCCTCAAACACATGCTCTATATATTTTTTTTAAAACAATAACCTTTATAGCTTTTATGAGCAATATGACATAGGCAACTTCACAACGATTTCCAATTAAAATTCTCAAAGTTGGACTAGTGCACAAGAAAAATATGAACTCAAGAGACTCATCTCTAAAAAGAAATCAACAAAGCAAATTGTCTTTCAACATATAGATTACACGTCAAGAACCTTTTCAACAAATAATCATGTGTCCCCAATATGCATTCAAAAATAATTAAATCAGGAGAAATAAGTATCACTCATGCATTGACAAGAAAAACATGATCATCACTTTCTCATGAAAGAAAAACAACATAAATCCTAAACTACAAGATATGGTCCAATGAAAACAAGATATTCACCAAAGCATAATCCATGACCATAAAAACTCTTTAGGACTTAGTTAGAGGGGTTTGCACCCATAGATCTAATAGGAACAAGTCCCATAGCATCAACAGGCACATAATTAACCAAGTCTTCCTTTTTGATCCACACAGTCTTTACATTTAACTTTTGAAAAGAATTTTCAATTTCAACCTTTTTCTTGTTTGAGTAATTCTTAGCATGAGAATTTTTGGGTTGATTCACAAAATTTTGCTTTTTAACATGAACCCTATTTTTAACATAAGAACCAAAAACATGAAATTTAGAAAAAGATTCTCTTTTCTTCCTAAAGCAATAATATTGGTTATGTCCATTCCTACCACAATAAGTACAATGCAAAATAGTAGGCACATAAGACATATTAGCATGTGATGAATCAACAACCTCAGATTTATTTTTAGGCACATTCAAGTTAGTGGGTTTCACAAAAATAGTTTTACCTTCTTTACTACATGAAACCTTATTAAAACCTAAGCCAGTTTTGTCATTCACATTGTTACCAATATTAATCATCTCATCAAGTTTAATCTGCCCAGAAGTAAATCTATTCAATTTCTCTTGTGACTTTTCCAATTCAATTTCAAGAAATTCTAATTTAGAAACAAGAGATTCATTTGCAGAATTAACTTGACTTACCTCACCTTCTAGGAATCTTATCTTTCCATGAAGATCTTCAATCTCCTTGTTTTTCTGTTCACTTTCCTTCTTCAGAGCATCTCTTTGCTTCTCAACTTCTTTCAATTCTTTAGCTTGTTTATTGAAGCCTTTGTTCATTTGAACATATGTAACATACAATTCATTGAAGGCTTTATCATAATTCTCCTTTGTTGCTTCCTTGTAACAATCTTCATCATTAGATTTTGCTATGTCCTCAAAATCTGAGTCATCTGTGTCAGATAAAGACAATCTTTTAGAAGCATCATTATTCATAAAAGCAACAAAAGCAAGAGGATTATCATTATCATTAGAAGAATCATCAGAAAAAGAAACATTTTGATCTTTAGAAACTGAAACATTCATTCCTTTATCCTTCTTTTTATCTTTGGACTCTTTCCTAGCAACAAAGCTATTTTTAGGACTTGGACAGACTGTTGATGTATGACCTATACCACCACATGTCCAACATTTAATCTCAGTTCGTTTAGACTCCTCTTCTCCCCTTTTATCTTGTCTTTCACTTCCCCTAGATGAAAACTCTCTATTCTTAAACCTTGACTCTCCCCCTTTCTTAAATGCATTCATCTTTTCAGACTTGATCAAATTTCTGAACTTCCTAGTTATGAGAGTAATTTCTTCATCAGACTCACTATCATACCTAACCTCAGACTTGGAAGAATCAGACGTTGAAGCTTTTAGGGCTAAGTCTTTAGGTTTTAGGGAATTTCTATAGTACTTCATCTCATAGTTCTTAATATGTCTACAACCTCATCAACTTGCATGGTAGTGATGTTTTGAGTTGCTTGCAGTGTTTCAACTTTGATTTTGAACCTTTCAGGCAAAGACCTAAGAATTTTCTTGTTAATCTTCTTATCTGTGGCCAGACACAATATGGTTGAGTTTCATGTAAAACTCAGAAAAGGTTTCATCTTCTTCCATCTTAAGATTTTCAAATTGAAACACAAGTATCTCAATCTTTGAAGATTTGACTTCATCTGTACCCTCATGGGTAAGTTGAAGTATATCCCATGCCTCCTTTGCAATTTTATAATGAGCAATACGAGCTAACTTAGATTGGACAACAGATTTGAATAAAGAAAACAAAGCTTTGGTGTTTCCTTCTTGTGCATTATTCTCAGCTTGAGTCCACTCAGACTCTTCCTTTTCAATGATAACACATCCTTTGTGACTGTAGGTTTTTTATAACCTTTTTGATAAGTGCTGAATACTGTATATTCTAGCGCCCTAAATTACATTAAAAAAGTCCATTAATTGATTATTTTATGTAGAATAACTCCATTTGCATGTTTTTATGCATTTTCAGGTTAAAGTGCAAAAAGGAAGCAAAAATGATGCCTTGTGGAATTTTGAGCAAAAAGGGTGCCAATTCTGAAT